TGTGCTTAGAACAGACGGAAGGACTCTTGGGGAAGCAGGAGAATAAGAGCAGATAAGACAAAGAGTTTGGAAGGAAGCCAATGTAATACAGCAAGCAAAAAAAGGTAAAGAGCAGGAAGAAAGGATAATCTAAGTCAGCCCTTTGCCTTCACATAAATGGACTGTATGTGATATTTATCCTCCAGAAGTGGCAGCAGGTTGAAGATTATCACTAGTCCCTACAGACCCCCACGTTACTTTTGCGAACCTGGGGCCTGGGACCTCTGCAGCTTTTGCCTCTGTCCATACAACTGTTCTCCTGTGCTCTTCTGGGGGTGAGTAAAGAAGTTAGCATCAATAGTTCTTGATGCTAATACCCTACTGAAATGCAAATATTAGATCTACTTTTAGTGTGCTGTTTTTTCAGGATATCTAAATATGGAGGCATCCCTGCATCAATAACAAATTTCATACCATCAAGTTCTTCACTGCAAACACAAGTATAGATACTTCAGCATATGTAATTAGCAGAAACTCCAGAAATAAGCAATTAAAGGGTACCAGAAACCAAGAACCTCCAAAAGAAGGACCATTTTGTCTGATTGCCATCATCCACCACAACTCTGCACCCCAAAGCACACAAAAATGTGCATATCTATAACAAAAGGAACAACATACAGGCTTAAATGCAATATTGAAAGTGCAATACTGAAAGTGCAATACTGAAAGACTTTTGAGTGCTACAAAGTATTGCTAGAATTACAACAAATGTAATTTGTATAAATATAATTTACTTACAGAAATCTACATCATGTGCCACAACAGCAGCCAGCTCTAACCCTCTATGTGGATTTCAACATCTTACTCCTCCATTACTTCAGGAAATACTGAAAACAATTTTTTCGCCATTCTGTAATACTGAAGCTTGACAGCAAACATATGACACAGTGCTGCCTTTTGAAACCCTGAAGATGGATTTATGTTCACCAGACTTAAAACAACCTTCCTAATGGCCACCCATCAGATAGTCTCGTAGTGGGGAGCTCTGACTGCCTTTGTGTGGGATCTCATTCTCATGTTGCAGCAGGTACTTAAAGAGTGAGAACCATTTTTTTTCCAAAGGAATTTTGATGTCCGACTCCCTTTGAAGCCTCCCTTCCTATGTATCTTTGAAAATCTGATCTTCAATTTGTTATTCATTTTCCCTTCCCGCTTGATATGACAATGCCTTCTCTCCTTCCATCTTGAATACTCAAAGAAAAGGTCCATACTCCTAACATGAATAAGTGTAGTTGCTTGGAAAATCAAGGCTCCTTCTCCCAGTCCTCATCTATTCTTTTCCATTCCAGTTGTATAAAACATCATCATGATAGGCCACAGGCTTCTGTTTCTCACTCTACACCATCCATCAGATTTGACTCACATTTTTTAGATAACAGTAAAGATCACTACAGGCAGAAACTGGATGCAGTCATCTGCTATGGAAAACAGTTTTCCTACTCCTTTCAAATTTATTGATTACTCACAGCCTTTCCCCTCTAAAGTGTATATATCAGAGTAGGTACTGGTGTTGGAATAGCCACTAGCTGTCTGATAAAACTTAATGAATGACAATTTTATGAGCTTCTGTTGTTATTGTTCCTTTAACTCCTTCAGTATCAACCCACCATGGTAATTTGCTGACAAAGGAAGATAAAAGATAAGGCATGACTATGAACATTTGGATCCCTACTTCAGTCTGGGGTGTTTTTAACAGATTTTCTTAGGCAAGTCATACAGGGACAAATTTTTTATGGTGTCTGGTGTCTGCTGTTTTCTACAACAGAGTGTATTTTGTGAAAAAAACACTTAAAGAGAACACAGAAATCTCAAATACTGTAGTATTTATATCATCAGCACCACCTTGGCATACCAAGACTGATTTTTCTAAGAGCGTTTAGCCAGACATTTTAGTATTATTCCTCTGCATTTGACCCTGGGAACTTTCTGACTGGTGAAGGTCTATAATTTCCTTGTTACTTCCCCATCACTGAAGACCATGCTGCCTGGCCCAGAGAAGAATTTTGCTCTATCAAAGTGAAATTAAGCACACAAAGAGTTATTATATATAAGCTGCATGCAGAGAATAAACTCAGACTTAATCACACAACAAAATCCCCATTCAGTGCTTTGAAAATTTACCACTAAGTGTGAAGCTAAAAATATTAGCTAATAACAGTGAGCTATCTTCCAACCACATCCTCTTGCAGATCAACAAGAGATATGTCTGAAAATGTGCCTTAGAGGAATTAATGAACATTTGTTTGAAATGTGGCCATTTTACTTTGGGACAGGTTTGGATTTTTTTTTTTCTGGGTTTTTTTTTTTTTGCCTCCCCCTCATCTAGTGAACATATCCTGCACTTCAGGGTATGGAAACCTGCCGAAATCATACCCACAGTCAAATCAAATTTAACATATCTTTACAAGATATTTATAACATGCAAATACCTAGAGGCTCTGTTTCTCATTCACATGAAGATCCCCCATGCCAGAAAAGGAGGGTTCTTTTATGCTAGTGAGAACAAGTACACAGTAGAATAGAAGCTAGTTGCACATGCTATATTTAACACATGAAGGTTCGGCAAACCCACATCTCCACTCTACGTGCAACAAGCAAGCAAACCACACTGCAGAATTTGAAGAAAAGCATTTGGCAAGCCCTTAGAACTGCATCCTTACAATCAGCCACTTGTGTCTCAGCAGGATTCTGCTTCCAGAATCCCAGAAAAAATAATTTTACTTCACCCTTCATTAAAAAAAGATGGGAAACTCTCGCTTCATTCACTCCACTTTTTCTTAAGTCTCTTTAGCCACTCAAGGAGCCTAGCAAAACATTTTCTCAAGATGAAATAGATTAACAGTAAAAATTCCACCTTCAGATTCTTAGGCATCTAATTCGCTCACAAATTTTGTCTCTTGGCACACATCTAATTCAGAAATAATTATTCTACTATGTGTCTTTGACAAACTCTTCCTTATTTGTCACTTAAGAGCAATCAGAGACAGGAATTTTCAAATTAGAAAGCTTAGACCAGAATTGCCAAGCACAGGCTATGTCTTAGGACACTTTCTGAACAACATTGGAAAACACATGCTGAGTGCCCACGCCTGCTGTGCCCACTGCAGCCCCCCAAACCTGCGGGGCTCTCTGCGCTAGGGCTGAGCAACCAGTCTGCAGTGCTGAGGAGGGTCATGTCACCTGAGGGAAAATGGCAAACAAAAGAAAACCATTTGGCTTCGTCTCAGGGTAGAATTCACCCCAAATTCTTTTAAACTTTAAAATTCTAGTGTTATATAAATAAATTACCATGGTTTAATTGACTTTCTTCAATAAACTCTGATACCTACCTAGAAGTAGGGATGCTATTTCCAAAATGATTTGCTACCTGATGTCAGTGCATTAAGAGATAGATACAATATATACATCAATTCCTGACAAAAGAATATTAAGCATTTTTCAGAGTATATGCCAGCACACAGCATCTGTGCATTGAACAAAAAGGCAAGCCAGATGAGGAGCGTCTTTCAGTGTTTCAAGCAACACTCCCTATTTTTGTGCTACTAAAGAGCCTTCGAGTTACATAGAAGGTACAAAAGCTGGTGAAGTTCATAGCAAAGGCATTTGTGAGCTAGAGGAATTTTAATCTGAAGGGGCTGAGCAATTTTGTCCTGTACCAAAAGTCATATATACCTGATAATATGATGTAAAAATATAGTAACATATGTGCGTATATTAAAAGATGGAAGTCTCATCTGTGGACATAAAATATTTTCTGCTTTAGGTACATCAACACATTAAGCACTTTAGTTATAATTTAAAAAGCCTTTTTTTTTTTTTCAAATTACTAAAAACTTTACTGCAGCAATACCTTTACAGCAATAGGAAAAAGTAAATTACACATAACTCTGGCACAAATGCCCGTTAATCTGATAACCTATAAACCCTCCCCACTACCAAAGGCTCCAATTAGAATAAATAACAGAGATGTTTGGGGAATTGAGGGGGGACAACATCTGTTTGATTGACATATGCCTTTCCTGGAAGAATGCAATGCATGTTCATAATCCTGAAGAGTCTGACAGCACTAATATGACCCAGTTCTTAGGTAAAAAGGCATATCTTTGCTGCAACAGCTGTTTACCTATACATCTATACTGAACAGCAATATTGAAGCTGCGTGACTCTTTTCTAGTAATGCATTAAGTCTCTGTTCACATAGCCAGTCAAATGTCATGTATGATCTCTCCTACTGTTGCCATAGAAATGTTACAGGAAAAGGTATTTTTTGCTGCTTATTGTATAAACCCTTCTGTGCTTCATTATATACATTATTGTATGTATTATAGATGTATTATATTACTGGTAAAGCTGTTAGGTTGCTCTGTTGTTAGTATTCTACTGAGAACAAACATAACTTATCAACTGCCTGACTGCTTCTTGAAAAATAGGTATCAGTTTACGCCATTGAATTACTACACCTGCTTGAATTTTGGCCACTCCATCAGAGCAGCAAGCTAGCCTGAGGAAATTTCAACACTTGGTTTTATTAGCCTCCTTGACAAAACTTTCATAGCCTTAGGAGCTTGCAAAAATTGAGAACATAAAGAAAGACCAAAATAGTGAAAAAGACTGAAAGATTACATTTTGTAGTACGGCAATTGTAAACACCTCCTTTTATTTATCATTATTAAACTACCCTTTCAGGTTTTTTGCCTTTTTCTTTCTTTCAGCTCTGCATATACTACCTGCTCAGTCCATTCAAACTCCATGAAAGGAACATAAAACTGGAACGAAAGCTATCGCTGACACTTGATAATAGTAACTATGATAAACATTGAACATAGACTTTACGCACCATATTAATAAACACAGAACACCTAAAATAGTAAAACATTATATAGCTTGCTGACCGCAAGAACACCAATGCAACATGGGGAAAAAAAACAAATTACAAAATACTAAAAAAAATGGTGGCTCACCTTCTGTGCCATTGGGTGTCATGGAATTATTATTTATATGGGAGTTATCAAGTTTTGGACCACTGGGGGATTCACTACTACCACTTAGTCGTCTGTGTGGGCTGGCTAGATCCTGCATTTCCATAGACCTGAAAATGAGATGCAACCAGTTTTAGTGATGTATTCGACAAGGATTACAGAGGAATTTCTTATACAAGATGCAGTCCACTATTAATCAACAGCCCAAAAACAGTTAGTAAAAAACGAATAGCTTCTCCAAACTTCATTTTTTCCAGTGCTTAAGTCATGTTGTAGCTCCACGCACAATTGACCAGATACCATAATTATTTTTTCAGCTTGTAACAGAATGAAATTTAGATTCCAAGCACTGTACTTTAAACATTCATGTAACCTTGTATTTATAAGATACGTACAAAGATGGAATCACCAATATATGAAGATATATGTCCTCTTAACAACAAATTAACACTCTGCTTTTTCAAGATTTACCACTCAGTGGCAATATAATGGGCCTCCAAACCAAATAAAACACTCAAAGCAATTGTGGAAACCTATCATCTACTGACAGGGAATGAGATATTCCTGATGTATGTGTTTACTCTGGCAAACTACTTAATTGTTCCTCTGTTTCCGTTGAAACAAATGCAGCATTAAAACATTATTATGTCTGCTCACTTGTTTGCTTTGTGGATTACATAAAGCGTGCCCAATTGAAAAGGGATATGACCAACATACAGTGAATCCATACAGGCGTTAGTGTGCCTTAGCGCTCTGCTGTATCTCAGCAGCTGTCGCTTAGTCAAAATAAGAAGAGAGCAATTGCAATCCAAAGCAAAAATTAAATGTTTAAGCTGCACAAAAGCAGCTGAATATTCCAGAATTGTGGTTTCAATAGGCTTATATAAAAAGGTCAACAGACATCACCGCCATGACACATCCCTTGGTTGATGGGACTTATGACTGAAGTGCTCCATTCTTCCATTTCTTTATGCCTAAGACTTTTGACATTGCTATTTGATGTACTCATTCTAAGTAATTGCTCCCAGTAGAAACTTCATAGGTTACTGTGCCTCCAAGGCATTTAAACCAGCAATTTTTCAGTTTAAAAGAAATGCTTATGCTCTTTTAAAGACTATTAAAAAATTATATAAAAAATTCCTCCCGCAGTAATGGTGCAAATATCCTTAAGTCTAAGCATCATTTCAGCTACAAAGTTTTCACATTTTATCTGACATTTTATCACAAGTTCTAAACACAAACCCTTCATTTTACACTTATTTACCTAAACCAATCTACACATAAAGAAGGATGATACTGCATTGAGTACAGAAAGGGAGGATCTAACGCAAAGTCAAGCAATTTAGAGAAAACGTGTATGTGCTCATGGTTTACAGACTTGGTTGCACGCATGTAAAAGAGACGCTCCAGCACTTACTCATCCACTTAATGTGCAAAACAAGAATAAATATTTTACTTAGCACTAGAAGTTTAAAAATACAATAAAAGGCTTGCAGAAAAACACAAATTATTTGTCAAATCCTTACCTGCAGCTTGAGGAAACAGCAACATCTGAACGGGTTTGTGAGTTCTGCACCTGTAAACCAGGGAAACAAACAGAAGTTTCTATTACTCCGCTTTACTACAAGGCCTTAATTTAAAGAAAGGATATCACCACGGATGACAATTCTGTCCTTTAAATCCAAAGAGAGAGGAGGAGGGTGCGGTGCCTGTGAAAGGCATATTGTCTTTAAATTGAAGGCTCAACTGTTGTTTCCCCGGCAGGTCTCTCTCCCTCCTCCCCGTGCCGGGGGACGGCAGCCAAGTGACGGGATAGTGATTCATCGGGGGCCCGTGACAGCTGCAGAGGGGCTCACTCCTCCCACGGCCCCGCTCGGCTCTGCTCAGCCGTGCGCTCCCGCAAAGGTAACCCCACCGCGCTGCGCCGTCCTGCCAAGGGCAGCGGGGCTGATCCAGCCCGAAGCCCCTCAGCATCCTCCACCCCTCTTGCCTCTTCTTATTCCTCCCTTCCCTTTAACTCTTGACAGCTTCTTGCCCCCCATCATGCTGATTTTCCTCTTCCTTCACTCTTGATCATCCTTCCTCTGTGCCAGGGCCACGGGGAACCTGCAAGTCAAGCTGACCCCAAAGGCAAGCTGGAGAGGCTGGCGGGATTTTGGCTGGGGTGAAGGAGGGGGAACGACAACAAGAGGGAGGTCTACCTGTGGTAAAACTTTCAATATATGGCCAATGGTATTACACAACCATGTCTAAAACAAGACCATTTCCAGCTAGGGAGAATTAAAATAAAAGTCCCACATGCTACTGCACAAAGTCCTACTCATAAAAATTCCAGTTGCTAATGAGATTTCTGATAAAATTACTTAAAAGAACATTTCTGGCTTAATAAACAGGAGGAAGCTGTAACATTTACCTCTGAGGTTACTCATCAAGAAAACAAATCTGGTTCCACTGGGAAGCCCAGCAATAATTTTTCAGTTTAATAAAATTACTCCTTTTCTAACTCAGGTGAGTAATAGTTTTCATATCCTATCAGAAGAACACTGTTGCTTTGCTAACAAACTCTAGCCAGTGACAATTGTCTGCAGGTGATAAAATTCAGGTGAAGATACCCTCCTTAGACACTGTTAACTTAAAAGCACACAAAAGCTTCTCTGACCAAGGTACATATCCTCTTAATGTCTGCAGTGAGGATCCTTCATGTGCATTTCCATTCAACCTGAACTGACATCTCTTTAATGATCACAAGGCAAAGACAAGGGAGATGAGGCATTTTAAGTGCCATAAAAATCATCCAAGCAAATCCTACTTATGTGTCTGTAGGGTGGGTTTTTGTTATTTTTAATCACAGACAGAATTACTACTAGCAAGAGTAAACAACTGCTAGGGGCAGCCAGGCAATGAAGAACACCACAAATGATGTCAAGAAGCATGCAATAATGCCTGCTGAAAAACATCAATCTTTTTATAACTGGGTACTTAAAGTACTGCATAACATGCTTTTCAATACATCGTTGCATGCCAAATAAAACTAGATGAGCAGATACAGTCAAAACTGTGCATTTTGTTTTAAAGATTTTCTTTTCCTCAGTCCTTTACTCCAGAAACTGCTGCAGAGTGCCTTAGGATACGTTTCTGCTGTTACTTCTAAACACCTGGAAAAAATTATAGGTGAGAACTAAGTTTGCTCATAGAGCTATCTTCACTCCCTTTTGCACAGGATCCTTTAAAACACATCTTTTATAATAGAAAAAACCTTCCTTTTTCCAATGGATGCTTTAATTAACTGATATTTTCCAGCGTGCCCTACAGTATTGTTCATACTTGATTAAACTCTAAATTGCATTTAATCCTCACTTTTTAATTACCAAAATTAAAAAAATAATAACTTCTACAGATTTACAAGCATACATATATACATGTGCATGTGTGTGCACAGCAAGAGAGATTTCATTTATGGATTCATGGGAGAGGGCAAAAAAAATAACCAGCCCATTCAAAGTGAATTAAATATATACCTTAAATGTCCTCCAACACTATGATTTGTGAAAGTTCATATCCACAATCTTCATTTTCATTAGACATACTTTAGATATATTCCTTTGTGTCTCAAGGATTATTTAAACCATGTGTTGCACGTTACCAAATTTAAAAATGACTCTTTAATCAAAATAACTTTAAAACAACTAATCCTCACTTAGGCTGGTCAGCTGAATCCACAGAGTGGTCCAGGAAAAATAAATCTACTCTCAAGAATGCGAATGCAGACAACAATTAGACACAGATGTGAGTGAAATTAGTTACAGTTTACAAAATGCTACACTTCACATGCTTTCAGTTTTTTATGTGTAGTACAAAATTACAACGTAGTAAGGAACCACACTTATGACGATCAGTTAGTTCATAGAATAAAAACATTTCTGGGTGGCGTGTGCTTGCTCTCATGCATTCTCCCATTTTGTCAACAGATTTCTGGATAACTGGAGTTCTGCAACATAACTCACATATCAAACAAAAGGTGGGAAAAAACCCCAAACACAACGGCCTTACCCAGCCAGAAATGAAGCACGTTAAAAAAAAAAAAAAAAAAGGAGCTGTCACACACCCTTCATACTTTGTGCTCTGCTTAAACTAAAAATGCCTTCTATGCTTAATGACGTACATGTTGTCCTTAATACCTCGAAAACATTATTGTGTATAATTTGATTGTTGTAAGTAAGGTTCACATCTTTCTCCTTAATACAGATCCCAGATCCAGGCACTACATAGTACATGGCGAAAAAAAAGGACAATGATAGAAAAGCTACTTAAAATTCATCCATTTAAGAATCTTAAATCAGTAACATCAAATTCTGATTAGTTAATGAGGTCTTTTAAGTTTGCCTTTTTTCTAATTAAATTTATAATTCTTCACAGATGTAGGTTTTGTTGATGTTCAATTTGTCTCTCTCATTTTGTTAAACCTCACATAGTACTCCACCAATCCATTGAATAGCCACATTAAATCTGTTAATACCATGCTCTTCAACCCCAGAAATTATTTCCAGAAGGCAAACTTGCTTTGAGAGATCATCAAACAAGACTTAAGGTACACATTTTATCACATTTTCCCTACCACAGAGCTCAGGATGCAGAGGAAAATTCATGACTTTTGCACTGTTTATTATACTTTGCTAAATTACAAATCAAAAGCATCTGACAGAAGATCATGTATGAAGCCAAAAAGTTAATAATGTTCTGTGAAAAGTAAACTGTAAATGGGAAGGGATTCTAAATTTCAGCAGCACTGAGCAAATAAAATGTAGGTACTTGTCTAAATTACAGGTTTTCCACAGTATTTTTGCTTGCTAGGAGCAATTTTTTTTTAATGGCTATAATTTAAAACATTTTTCCAGCTGAAAAGAAATTTTCTAAGTGAAAATAAGAAGTGAACCCAGAAAACTATAGCCAGCACACGCACTTTCTCTTAAAAGACAGTTCTACTTTAAAGAAGCACATTTCAAAGACAATGGCAGTTTTCAAATCAGTGTTTCTTCTTAGGGGAAGAATAAAAAAAATCTGTCATTTTTAGGAAGGGGTGGAGGAAGGGAGAGAAGAGGACTTTTCCCCAACAGCACTCTTTGCCTCCTTAAAAGAGCGACGCAGTCAGTATCTACAGACATAATGGCTTCAGCAGCCAAAATATTACAAAACTAAAATGCAAATTGGCTGCAGAAAGCCACCTTACTGGCAACACAGAAAACTTGGTAATACTTTCACTCTTCCAATAATCATATCGCTGAGCTCTAAAGGAAGAGGTAGGGCTTTTTCACTAGATATTCACATCAAAGACAAATTGCTCTTATTAAAGCAAAAGTGAGTAATTGCGGTTATTTCATTTTTAATTACTCGTTTAAATTCTTCTAAAAGTGCTATCCTGTGTGCTCATTTCATACACTTATGAATGAAATGTTTTGAAACCCCAACACTTTCTTCCCTGTAAGAAATGTGACAATGCTCCTATTATGACCAGCCATTTAAGAATGTCTTTCTGCTTTTCCAAGATTTTTTTTGGCTCACAAGAAATATTTCATACTTATTGCAATTCAAACAAAATGATTACTCATTCTTTTTTTCTGCTCTCTCCAAAGGCGAAGCATGACTCAAGCTGTCTGTCACTGTGCAGAACTGCTGAGAGAGGATGGCTGCTCATTTCCAGACCCTTCCAGGCCCTGGGAAGACTCTGACAACAGTGAGGTGCTTGGCTAAAAACTGCGTGTCATGCGTTCGTGAGCAACATGTAAAACACTGTGTGCGTATGTGTTTATATACCTAATATGATACAACATGTATATACAGACATATACATATGTTTACAGATGCATATACATATTATTAACTTATTTTATACATCAAAACAGCAGTCTATGTTCTGGCAGATGCTGTGCGAACTGCCTCAGTATGGGATGGAAAATAAAAGAATCTTTATACATGGTATCTAATGGTAAAAACTTCCAGTGATACACTACACCCCATTTCCACTTCTTATTCCAAATTTCCCTTGGTGCTCATTTTTAAATTTAAACAAACTACATGAAATATATTGTGTCCCTCTCCCCCCTTTTTTTTCTCCTGAAAGCTTTTATCTCTTCTGCTTGCCTCAGTTTCAAATGTTTGCTTACAAAAGAAACAGAAAACCCCACCAAAACCCAACCACCTTCAAAGAAACATTTTAAAATGTAGTAATACCTTTACTTTTCCAGAACACATCTGTCACTGCAAAGGGCAGTCCTTCCTTTTGGTGTTTGTCTGAAACACCGAGAGAAATACATACTTGGGAATGTTTGGTGGTTCTTGGTTACTCAGAAGTAAGATGCAAATTTAATGAGACTTCAAAAGGTCTTTAACTTCCTCGTTCTAAGATCACCGCTCTAAATAAGCCACCTAAAATGTCAATAAACGTCAAATATTTCAGTTGTGTAGATGTTTATTCTGTCATCTTGAAAAGTTCTCCTGTGGGGATCTGTGTGTTTTCCTTGGTGTTCGGAAAACTTAAACATATTAAGCAAAAGGATTTCCTGCTTCAGAAGG